CCCCCCTCTTTTTTTTTTTTTGTTGTTTTTTTTTTTTTTTTTTTTCCCCTGCAGCTGGATGACCTCTACCTGATCGCCCTCGTCCATCGCCGGGACCTCAAATCGCTTCGAGACCTGACGGCCGAGCACCTCCCGCTGCTGAGGAACATCTTGCGGGAAGGGAAGGTAAGTGCTGGGCCGGTGTGACGCCACTGTCCTGGCTGCCGAGAGCATGCTGGGTTGCTGCTGGAATTTTCAGAAATAATCGTAAAATGATGGTACGTCATGAAGCAGCGCTGCGTTTCCCTCTCTAGCATCTCTGCCCGGAGTTTTCCATCCCTGCTGCTCGGTCGTCACGTTCCCCAGCGCATCTCAAAACCCCAGTTTTTTCGGGGTGCTCGATACTTCTCCGTTAGCAGCGAGTTTATCATCCTCGGGTTGATAATTTCCTTCACCGGGCAACAATTTTTTTTTTTTCCCCAAAAAACCTGGTAGGTAGGTAGATGCGCGATAGCTTCCGTTTCCTTCCCTGCCTTTGAAATTTGGAAAGTAATTGCACCGGGGAAAGTGGAGATTAATTAAGAGATTAGTCAGAGGGTTGTGCCGGAGTTAGCCGTTGCTGTTTAGAGTTTTAATTACACCGGCGGGTAAGAGGATCCCCGTAACTCGCTGAGCGATACGGGTGGAAGGGAAAAACGATCCGAGCAGAGAGCACGTCCCGTCGCGGAGGGAGAAAACCGGGGCGGCCGGAGGCATCGCTCCATCCCTGCGGAGGCAGAAACACCTTCCCAGCTTCTCCCTCTCCCTCGCTGGGAGGCTGGAGGAAGCCAGAAATCGCTTCTGCTTTTTGCTCTGCTTTTTCTGCCAGCCAGGAACGCTCCTTTCCGTCCATCCCAAGGTCTGTCCGTCTGTGCCTGCCCCATGCCATCGCTGCACCTTGCTTGTCCTGACCTGTGATTTTATTTTTAAAATTTTTTTAAAAATTCTTCTCTTTAGGAGGCTATAACGAAGCGTTTTGGCGTGCCGGGTTCGCAGCTGCGGCTCTACCTGCATTACCAGCCCTCCTACTACCACCTCCACGTGCATTTCACCGCCCTGGGCT